GGCCGCGGGCCGCTCGGGCGGCTCGGGCCCCGCCACCTACTGGGCTCCCATGCGAGTGCGGGCACCGGCAGCCGCAGCCCAGCGCTTCTGCCAGGCGTTGCCTCCGCCACCGCCTCAGGCGCCCGCCGCGCCGGGCCCGCACATTTATGGCGGCCCTGCCGGAGGCGCCCACGCGCCCACACGCGGCACACACGTGCGCCCGCAGGCAGCCGCGGGACTCCGCCGCCCTCGTTAGCGCGCACGCCTAATTGGCTGCGAACCGGCCGGGGCAGAGGAGGCGGGTCCCGCGCGGGACACACGGACGGAGCCGCAGAGCCAGATGGACGGACGCGCTGCCGGGAGCCAGAGCGCAGTCCGCTGGGGGCTGTCGTGGTCAGCACCGTGTCGCTGCGCCTCCGCTGGCCTGGAAACTGCGCGCCCGCCTCCTCGGTGAAGGGGGAGGAGACAGCCCGGCTTTTAAATAATTGCGGGATCGGTTGGAGATGGAGAGGCCGCAGAGGCCCCGGGGAGCGTGCATCCGCTAGCCCCGAGTTGGGCCCTTGTCTGGGTACCGCGCGCGGCCAAGTCTCTCCTCCTGCCGCGGCGCGATATCCAGGGCTCCCGCGGCGCCCTCCGCAGCTGGGACCCGGGATCAGGCTCCGAGTCTCTGCAAGGTCTCCAGCCCCCTGCTGCGTGCGCCAAGGGTCTAAGTCCCGCAGCGGACGGTAGCTCTCTTTCGTGCCTGGTGCTCTCTCGTCAGGGTCTCTGCCCTTCCAGCCCCAGCACTGACGCCAGCCCTCTTTGCGCGGTCAAACTAGGGCCAGCCAGGAGTCCCCGCAAGGGGCGGGGCTGGCGGCTGCGGTTGTCATTCATTAGAAGTGGAATCGAACCCCCAAGGCTAGATGGCCCTCTGGCTCCGGCCCCCCTCCCGAAGGGGCACCGAAAATTCACACAAATAGCAAGTGGCCTACATAAAGATCGGTACCCTTCAGAAAGGGGGGAAATGTGTGTTTCTTTCTGAAATAATACGGAGAACGCCCCTTCCCCACAACCAGAGGAATCAGAGTTCGCGCGAGGCCTGGGATTTGTGCACGTCTTGTCTACCGCCCGGACTTTTGCAGGACCGGCTCTGTGGCCTCAGATGGTCCAGCCCGCACCGGAGACCGCCGCCTGTGTAGTCGATGTCTCTGAGCATCGAGAGTTTCCCTCCTCATCCCGGGCAGGCCAGCGAGCCGACCCGCCTCTCATGGACCCAGGTGGGACTCGGCGGTGGGGTACGCGCGTGCCCAGGGTTTGAGTGTGCGCGCGGACGTGTGCTCCAGCGGGAATGCTCTCCTCCTCCCACTGCGGGTCCCGGGAGCCTGCTGCGCACAAGGATGGTCCTTTGCAATTACCGCGGGCAATGATCCTTCGGAAGCAGAAATTAAAAGTTGGGAGAAATAATGGAGGACCGATCGCCTGTAATTTGGGCGAAGCTCAGACATGCTGAGCCTCAGGGAGGCAGGGATGGGAGGCGGACGATGGGGGCAGGCCTTTCCTCTCCTCTCTTCCTTCCCTGGCCCCCTCCCGCCTTCCCGTGTGCTGGTCCATCCAGAGATCCTAATCAGACCCACAACACTGTGTCCTTCCTTGCCGGGACTTGATTATTCTTTATCTTTAAATTATAAATCACCTCTGGGGAAGGAGGGTGGGTAATCTCTCATCGCAGTGAGGTAATTATCTTCTTCCCGCCCCCACCTTGGTCTTCACTCCCTCCCCCTCCTCAGCTGAGTTTGAATATAGATGTACACGCCCCATTCTCTCTCTCTCTCTCACACACACACTTACTCATTCACAAGCTATCAACACACACACAAGCAACGTTCATTCATGAGCACCCACACACAGTCTAAAGGAGACCCACAAGTATGCCATATTTCACTGTTTACCCACCCCCACCTGCTCCACCTGTCTCTTTTAAGTCCTCGGTGAGGAAGGCATACAGGCCCTCTGCCAGGTCCCCATCTTTTCCTCTCCTTCCCTGGGAGGCACAGCCACTGGATGGAGGAGGGAGCTTCCCCACGGGGGCGGGGGGGGGGTGGGAAGCAGGGCAGTTCTGGTGCACCGGGAGCTATCCCTGGCTGGTGGAGATTCAGTCTGGCACTTCCTGCAAGCACAGACTCCAAGCCAAAACAAAACAAAACAAAACAAAACAACAAAAAAAAAACATCGTTTCCAGCACAAGTCACTGGTAAGGTGGATATGGCCAAATATTTGACCGCAGACACAACCCATAGCCCTACTGGATGAGGAGGAGCTGGCATGGGTGTGGTCTCAGCCATCACACACACCAGACTCCTGCCTCTGAGGAAATAAAGGATCCATCCAGCCCTCTCAGTACAACTTTACTTCAGGACAAGTAAACACATGCAAAGTAGTGTTTTATATAATGTAGGTGTAGATTACTGGTAAGACATAGTAAACATAATCCAATACATTAATAAGCTATGTAATAAGAATGTTCTAGAAAAACAAACAACTGTAGTGTTTTGTTTCTCCAAATACACATACCTGCCACTGTCAAATGCTTTCCCTGATGAGGGGGAGGGACTGGTCAGAGTTGAGTGCTGTGCAGAGAAAGCATGTCCGGAACTTTGCAGGTCCTCAAGTTCACCTTCCTGCTCCTCCCTTCCTGCCCCTCAACATCCTTGTGGGAGCTGCAGCAGGCAGATTAGTGAACTGCCAAGCTTACATCTAGGCTCAGAAGAGCAGGGCAGACCTGAGAGTCCTCCAGAGATGAATGGGTCACCTCCCCTCTCCTTCCCTTGTGGGTGGGGGGGACAGTGCTGTGTGGACATGGCTCGGGGAGGGAATCGAGGCAGTTTTTCCACTTTTCCTGTCCCATCCCTGAGGAACAGTCAAACCATAGAGATGCTTGGTGCTCCTCCTACCTCTCATACCCCCAAACAACTGCCCCCCCCAATTCAGGTGGTCTAGGGCTATAAGGACATCCTTTAGCACTTAATCACAATTGATTGTCAATTAGACCCTCATTTGTGCAGTCTCTGCCCATCTGCAATCTCGGGTTATCACCAAGTCATCAGCTTCACTTGTGGAGCCCCAAGTGGGCATCCATGGGTGAAATCCCACCCTAGGTGGGGGATGGCTCTGCCTTCCCAGTGTACAGGAAACTCCCTTTCCCTACTGAGCCCTACCATGGCAGGTGGGTCAGAATGACAGGTCATGTTGGACTGGAGTATCAAGGCAGGGATGGGAATCTGAAGGAGGGATTGGTGGCGAGAGGTCCGAGAGATGACCTGGGTAAAGGAGAGGCAGGCTAAAATGTCCAGCATCCTTCCTCCAGCATTATGTAGCTTAAAATTTTGGAAAATTAGCCGGGTGTGGTGGCGCATGCCTATAGTCTCAGCACTTGGGAGGCAGAGGCTGGTGGATCTCTGTGAGTTTGAGGCCAGCCTGGTCTACATAGTGAGTTCCAGACCAGCTGGGGTTACAGGGAGACTCTGTCTCAAAAAGACAAAAAAAAAACCTTGTAAAAAAATAAATAAAAAATTGGAAAACAAGAGCAAGAGGAGGAGCCCCTGACCACTACTACGAGATTACCTTGGGCCAACGACCCCTCTTTGTTGTGGGGTTGAATCCCTCATAATCTCTAAGATCTTATTAGCCTCCCCTTGTGGATCCAGGGGTTCCAATCGCAACGACTTACACAGGGGATAAAGGAACTGAAGATGGTGGACTCTCCCTTCTTGGTCTGCTCCTGGGGGCGCTCTATGGACAGGTTGCAAGGGCAACTGTGCTCTGGATCCTAGAGTTGGACATATGCACAGACAGCCTCAACTTTGTCTGGTGTTTGCCTCATACACCATGAACCTGACCCTCCCCACACACCCTCTCCAAGCCACGAGGGCTCCTACAATCTTGCTGGGAACATGCAGAGACAGGAAATTTATCTTCTGGCTTTCTGAGTGTGGACTGAGGGCCTGTTGACATCCTGGTGCCTCTGAGCAGGCTGCTGCCTCACCGTGGAAGGATTCAGGAAGTGAGGTGCCAGGAGAGGGAGGCTCCCACGTGTATCCCTCATCTTATACCCCTTGCCACATAGTGCACCCTGCAGCTCACCAGTATGCTCATTCATTTTTCCTATTTCTCTTAGCGTGTTCTAAACCCTCAAGAATGGGCATAGCATACCCAGAACGTCAGAAAATGGAGGGAGGGAGCTCTGACTGCTGACCTTTCTATGGCCCGACATGGCAGAGGACAGGCCTGTGCCATGCACTGCATAGAGTACCGAAGCAGCGGACTGGAGGTCAGCACCGAGGACAGGTCCCAGGACCACGGACAGCGACCCACTGGCTGCTTAGCCAGCACTGCGGACAGCTCCCAGACCTTGGCCGCCAGACCTAGCAACTAGATAGCAGACCTCAACCTCCTGCCCCGCCCCCCCACCCCA